AATAGTGCAGGTACTGGGGAAAATACGGCAGTTCCTCAATGAGTTAAAACACAATTACCATTTGATCCAACAATTCCACTCCTAGGTATATACTCCAAAGAATTGAAAACAGATGTTTAAACAAAAATTATATGTGAATATTTGTAACAGCACTATTCACAATAGCTAAAAGGTAGAAACAACCCAAACATTCCACCAACAGATGAATGGATAAACAAAACATGGTATTTCCATACAGTGGAATATTATTCAGCTATAAAAAGGAATGAAGTAATGGTTCATACTACAACACAGATGAACCCTGAAGACATGCTATGTGAAAAGAAACCAGTTACAAAAAGCCACATACTGTATGATTCAGTTAGATGAAATGTCCCAAATAAACAAATACACAGAAAGTAGATTAGGGTGGTCAGGAGTTAGGGGGAGGAGAGAATAGAGAGTGAATGCTTATGGGTCCAGAGTTTCTTTCTGAGGTAATGGAAACACTCTACATAATGGTGATGGCTGCACAAATCTTGTGAATGTACTAAAAACTCATGAACAGTACACTTTAAAAGAGTGAATTTTATGGTATAGTAAAGCTGTCATTTTAAAAAATGAAATAAAAAATTACTGGTTAAGATCCACAAACTAATTTCATGGACTAAAAGGTTAGATGATCTCTGGTAGCTTCTGGTCCTTACAAAAGTTAAATTTTAGTCAAACTTACAATGTGCAACATGTTTATATATGTGTTTTCACTTGGTCCTCAAGAAAATACAGAAACTGAGGCTCAGGAAACTTAAGTAACTTGTCAAAGGTCAATAGCAAGTGAAGGTAAAAAGTATTTAAACTCTACATTTGACTCCAGGCATCCCTGTACCAATATGCAATGATATCACGCATTTCTGAACATAAAATGATTCAAGTCTTTGCAAGGGGAAAAAGTTAAAACCTATTAATACTTAATAGGTGGAATGAAGTTTTGATACATTGTGTCAAAGACTAAATGGTATAGCAGTTAATTATTTTTCAGTAGCATTATGCATATTTAATAACCAAACATTACATGACTATACACATATTCAAATGAATTTTTTAATCTTTATTTTAGGTTAGTTCTAATTTTAGCAATCTGAACAAATCAAAAAATCGTCAAATGTCCCAACATTTTAAACATAATACCAATGAGTCTAATCATTTCATTTCCAGAAAAAAAAAAAATTCTCAAAGAACGGCTAATAAAGTTTGGAAGTATCTATAGCAGTTGAGCAAAAATTTAATAGCAAGAATAATTAACTTCTCAGAAATGTATGAACTCAAGGTTTATTGGCACTGGAATTTTGTTTGTTGCCTTTAAATAAACTTTATTTTAAAAGCCAATCTTAAAAAAAGTTTATCACAATCCAGCAAAATTCCAGCATTTCCCACGGTCAATCAAAAGTCAAATAACATCAGAAACAAATGTGGAAGAAATATTTTATTTTATAACATCAAACAGAAGAATACTCTTGACTTAAAAGTCTGAATATTCAGAGACACCTGGCAAAAAATATGTAGATACTAATAAAGACTGAAACATGGTATTATTAATATTACGAAAATATTTTATTCATGCTAGTTTTCTTCCCCTTGGCGTGTCTTTTTTATTTTTTCTTAACACTAGTAGCATCTGGTGTAAATCAGAAAGCCCCTAATCATAAATTTCAAGAATCTCCTTATTAGCCACAAAACAGATAGCTCGCCATGGTTGTGTGATGGGTGGGTGTGTATGCCTTTCCTAAGGTCTCTTCAAAAGTGTGATAATCATACAGTGACATCCATGATAGACAGCAATGTTTCCTAGTTTATTCCCTTTAAATATTCTGTCTACTATATTTACTTGTCCACAATCCTGGCCCCAAATTACTTATCTTTGACTATAAAAATCAATCAAACAGTGAATTCTATAATCTAAAGACATCTGAAGATGATCCTACTCTACCTCAACCTACCTGCATTCTGCTCTTTTCTCAGAATTTTTCTCACAGGGTAGCTTGCTTTACTTATGAAAGAGAACAAGACAATGATATTGTATTTGTAGCAAAGCAAGTTTGAATAACTCGTGCCAATTTTACGGAAAGCCTCCCTAATATATCAAAATTCTTATAATTTATACTACTAATATTAATTATTCATTTGAAATTTCCACATCACTATTTTCTAATTTTCAATAAGATTCTAACTGCTTTTAAATAAGAAAATTCAGTTTATCCTTTCTGAATATTTTCTATTAATTCCATCCCTGCATTTTTATTATTATACAGTGCCAAATTTATAAATACGTTCATTAAAAACCACCACCCAGATAATTAAAGTATCTAACCTTTCCAATCACATTTTCAATTCTTTAAGGAGAATTTCCTCTACTCACAGATAAATGATGATGTATCATTTGGAAACTCAAGGCTCCCTCTCAAAGAAATAAATCAGTTGCCCCATCCTTCCCTCATTTAACACAAGGTTGCTGTTTCTGGCTGTGAAAAAGGCTGAGAAGTTGTCTCCTGGCATGTGTATATTAATCAAAACACTGGCAGGGAGACTCATACAACTTTAAGGGAGTACTGTTGTAGTCTGATGTGTTAGCAAATTATAAACAGGAAAAAAAATGTCTGATACAAAGCTAATATACTTCATTTTAAAATGAAAACTTAAAACTGAGTATATCCAAAAACTGAAGATTTGACTAACAACCTTATAACTTACGATAACTTTTCATGTTTCCTACACTTAACACATTTGTGTTGAGTGTATTAAAATTAAATCTATCACTTATTTCTCAAAATATGAAATATTCTCCTAACCAAGAAATGACTTACAGATACCTGGTACTACATTTCAAATTACTTTAAAATAAAATATAATAAACAGCCTTACGTTCAAAGATTGCACAAAGATAACTTTTAAAACCACACTGGATTGCAAGTTGGAAGAAAATATATCTGTACTTTAATCTATAGTTGTAGAAAAATTAACCAAGCAGCATACAAAAAGAAATAGGAAAAAGCAAAAATTTTAAGAGAAATGGTCTTCAGTTTTCTGTGGTTAGGTAAAAAAATAAATAAAAATTCCCTAAGTGAATCTGGCTTAAGCTGTATTTGTTTCCTCATGGAGATTACACGAATATTGTCTATTAGATGGACTTTTATGCCTCATACAATTAAAGCAAATGGACAAATACATTAATCTTAAAGAAATTTAAACAGAAACCCAGAAGACTCAATCCAGGCTTGGGTTGGATTACAATGTAAGCTTTCTCCAAGTCACAGAGAATATTTACAGAATATTTTAATATAAAATAATGGAGTGGTAGGAGATGAAGGCCAACAAGAGGCAATTGGGAATGAAACAATTTTACTCTAACAAAACTCTTAGGAAAAAAGAGCATAAAATTCCTTCACATAAATGTATTTTAAAAAATATGTAATCTTTCTGTTTTCACTATAATGCCTTTCATCTGAAGGCATTTAGCAGACTTCACTATGACTGAACACACCTATGATTTCTTAAGTCACAGAGAAGTGTGCACACTGCTTTCTGTCAAGAAATGTGGATCCTTAGTAAATGTATAGCAAAGAAAAGAAGCAGATGTTGTGATAAAGTAGAAACTGTTCTAGACTAGATTTAGTATGTATGGTGTATATACCATATATAGTATATATAGCACCTTTATATATACAGATTTAATATATATGGTATACTATATACAGAGAGAGAGTACATATGGTACCTTTGAGTAAATCAGAAAAAGGTGTTCCACTCTTGGTAGCCAAAGCTCTGGTCTAGTGAGTGAAGAGCAGGCTGGATATCAGTCTCCACTCAAACCCTCTGTTCTTTGCAGTACATCAACTGCATATTCAGATTAGGCAAATTCAAACTTGGCCCTACCACTTAGCATGGAGTCTTACACAAGTGATTTAACTGAGGTTCAATTTCTTTTTCTGTAATGGATATTACAGAGCCCTGTTAACAGGACTACTCTGGGTACTAAACAGAAAGCTGTTTGCTACAGCATCTAGTACAGGATTCAATAGACACTTAAATAAATGGCAAAACAACAACGACGAAAACCCTCTCCTTCCATAGAAAAGTGAAGTGTCTCTCTTTTCACATCTATAAATAATAAACCACTAAGAAATAAAATACTTCCTTTTAGTTAGCCTGGTTTTAAGGGAACACAAGTTAATGTATACCACTGACACTAGTTCAGGAATCTCTCCTGTGTGTGTGTAGGAAGAGAGGGCAGTTAAGTTCAATTATGAAATATTTTAAGTTTGGAAACACATATTCGACATCAATTTCTCTTATAGATTCATACCGCCTATTAGGTTATAAAGGCTCCAAGAAGTACTGTAATAAGAAGCTGTTTAACTTATTTAACCCAGTGTTCTCAAAGTTTATTTGATCACAGAATTCTTTTTTATTTATATCTATTAATATCTCATGTCACTAGTTTTTTTGTTTTCTTCACAAAATGAAATTTGGGAATAGTTAGTATAGGATTATGCCATAGGAATAGCACCAGTTCTTCTCATTAACAGCCATTAATTAAAGAAAATCAAATCAATGCTAAGCTACATATATTAATTTTATTACTATTTTACTAACCTTAAGGAAATCAGAAATTCAAAATCTGAAAACTACTTTTCAGTAATTTTGATATAAAAGTTTGAGTTTGAAATAAAACGTGAATTTCAAGGCTTTAAAAGTTAGGCCTCATACATAAATTTTTAATTCAAAGATTAGATATAAAAATTATGTTGTAGTGACTGAACACTTAGGATATGTGCTTTAGCTCTACATGGCTAACAGTAAACAATGGTCATATGGCCTTTCTGAGAAAGGAACTGATCTTGGTCTGAATTCAAATTGCTATTACTTACATTCTCTTATGTCCCTCCTCCTTCCTATACACATTTATGTCACGGCAAGAGAAACAAAAGCAAAACATTTTCTATTATTCTACTGTTTTTACTTACCTAATATTTTCACAGCATAATGAGGACTTTCTAAGATAATTCCTTCCTCTGTATCAAATATAGGGTTATCTATTCCAGTTTTTGGAGGAATCTGGGCTAGTTTCTTAAGTCTCATGGAAGAATTAAGGTCAAGTTCTTGTTTTTTCCCTTCTTCCTCTCGCCTACGCCTCATGTCCTCCTGTTGTTGCCGAATACGTTCCAACTGTGCACTTCGACGTACTGGCATCATCCTGGTGCCCAAATCTCCAGGGCAGTCAACAGCCATCTCTCGGTGCTTCTGATGTTCCTCTGGTGATGCAAGATCAACATTTTTTACTTCGTTGTCTGATTCCTCAGTAACATGCCCATTCATATGGGATGTTGTCATGGTTATCTATAAAAACCCGTACCACTTTTTATAATTCAATTTTTCCTATAAAGCCAATCTCTTGATTCTGTAGTATAAAATCCATGTTACTTCAAAAAAAAAAAACTTCTCACATCACATAATAACGCTATGAAAATGTATCCATGAAGGAAATCTAAGGGGAAAGATGGGGAAAAAAAGTATAAGAATTACAATATAAAAGTAGATTTTTTTACATAGTCCACTTCCAATCTCTATCTCTACACAATATAGAAAATATCTCATAAGTATATAATATTATCTTGCTATATAGATTAAATATTTTCCTTTCATTTTATAGATCTGAGGAAAACAAGGTGTTTCAAGAAAAAAAAGTACCCTCTCAAGTATACTGTTTAATTTTACAGCTAAGAAAAATGATGTACTAGAAAGTTTAGCACAGCAAGAAAATAAGAAGGTTCTGGGTACTAGTTTAGTAGAGAATGAGATATTTAAGGTGTAAAAGTATTTTAATCATCTTTACAGTTGTCTCAACACAATCCTTTATGCTCAATTAATATACATGAGATTGAAATCCCTTCCTAGTTAACTGCTAAAGAACCTGGCATACAGCAAGCCATGTTGCTGACTCGACATAAAGGCAGCACTGTGGGAGACAATTCACTTTTCGGAGTTTATGAGATGAAGAAGATACCCAATGAAAAAGAAATTTTAATTAGCAGCTAAGGCATCTACAGGATAAAACTACCTTAAGTGAGAAAAAGACTATGTCAGTTATCAGTCTTTATAACTGGTGGCAGTAAAAAAAGAATTAGGGTTAATTCTTTCAGAGGATTCATTTAGAGAAAATGGTAGTATCTGTTACCACTCAAAAATGTTTTAAAGTCACACTATACAGCAAACAAGAACCTATTGGACTTGGAGACCAGAAGACTGAATTTTAATTCTGGCTCTGCTACTTCCTCTAGCTTTATGATTTAAGACTAGTTTCTCTCTCTGAACCTTAGATTCCTTTGGAAAATTTATTCATAGAATTGTTCTGAGCTGTTTTTTTTAAAGACTTTTTTGCTGTGGACCATTTTTAAAGTCTTTTATTGAATTTGTTACAATATTGCTTGTTTTATGTTTTGTTTTTTTGGCCACGAGCATGTGGGATCTTAGCTCCCCAACCAGGGATTGAACCTGCACCCCCTGCATTGGAAGGCGAAGTCTTAACAACCAGACCACCAGGGAAGTCCCCTGTTCTGAGTTTTAAATGAGATAAAGTTTTAGAACTAAAAACTATTTATACTTATATTAATTCTTAGTATTAATTTGATTCTCCTATTTTAAAAATCCTTCAACGTATTTTAGACAAGAAAAATATTTTACTGGATGACAATGGCTTTTCATCAAGCCATTTCTTGGGCATAAATAGGCAGATTATTTATATATGTGCAAACCCACACATTAAATCTAATTAGTCTTCTTTTGCTCAAGACTTTAAAAATATTTACAATAATAAACCTACTACCTCCTTGAGTTGAGTAGCACTCCAGTTAATAGGTTGGTTAGAGAACATGCCAACTAAGCAAAAGCTGAGTTTTCAGACGATATTCCTAATGCCAGCCAGTCTTCTCTCAAGCAAACATCTTGTCACAGACTGCTTAACACAAACCCTCCTAGACTACCAGGAAAACCACTAGACCAATAATCAGGAAAATAGATGCAAGCTACATGAGCCACTAGAATTACATTTTCACAAGAACTCTGGTAGATTTTTCTGTCTTCCATCCAAATTATAGCTCTGTTTTCTTATAATTATGCGATCTACATAGAAATACCTTATTTATCATTAAATTGCCTTCTCTTGCATTAAAACGAGAGCTATTAGAATTATGTTAGATAGGGACTTCCCTGGTGGTGCAGTGGTTAAGAATCCACCTGCCAACACAGGGGACAAGGGTTCGAGCCCTGGTCTGGGAAGATCCCACATGCCTGCGGAGCAACTAAGCCAGTGTGCCACAACTACTGAGTCTGCGCTCTAGAGCCCACGAGCCACAACTACTGAGCCTGCGTGCTGCACCTACTGAAGCTCGCGAGCCTAGAGCCCATGCTCCGCAACAAGATAAGCCACTCAGTGAGAAGCCCGTGCACCGCAACAAAGAGTAGCCCCCGCTCGCTGCAACCAGAGAAAGCCCGTGTGCAGCAACAAAGACCCAATGCAGCCAAAAATAAAACAAATAAATAAATTTATATATTAAAAAAATTATGTTAGATAATTCTTGTTTTATAATATTGATTATATGCAAATGCAAATTTATCTTATTTAATATTTTCATTACAAGTAAGCAGAAATTTATGTAGGAGTTACGGTAGTGCTACGCTTAATTTTAATTTTAAAAATTTAGGAGTGTATGTACTTCCAGAAAATTAAAACTCTCAACTTTCTCTACCTACAACATTTATGGGATATTAAAAATCAAACTTAATCATGAGTATTTTTTATTTATATATATGCTGGTCTACAAAAATTATGATTTGAAATTAAAACTTAGCTTAAAAATTATAAGATTGTGTCCATATTCACTGTACTAAATCATGGAGGTGGAGATTACAATCATGCAAGAGAAACTAGGCCAGGTGATCTCAGTCAGAGTTCTCATGCTTGGACTATAATCATGCTTGTCTATCTGGATCTAGACTTTTACCCTCAGAAAAATTTCTGCAACCTGATATTAATTCACTTAAATCTCCATTTTGGTCACATCTCCCTTAGCGTGTTCATAGTCCACTGGCCGAGACAGCAAAGAAAATGAATGATTATTCTTCTCAGTTGATTTCTCCTCATTAGATTCTAAATTTGTTAAAAACGGGTCATTCATGTCTTATTTTTATACCTTCCCTGTACTTAACACAATACATGTCATATAGGAAATGCCCATTAAGTATTTGTTCAACTGAACTTAGAAATGTTATAAATTCAGATGATGGGCTCTAAAATTTAGTCTGTGATAGTCATAGCAAACCCTCAAAACATAAGGACACATTTCTTCCAGCAGCATTTCAAAAAACAACTAAAAATTAGCCAGATAGAACAGTCTGTTCCAGGCAGAAGGAAACACAAGACCAAAAGGAAGGAAGAACGTGAGAATATGGCACTTGCATGAAGTAGAATGGAATGCAAAATGGCTGGATGGGACAATGGGAGCATGTCATACATGAATAATAATAAAACTAGAAAGGCAAGCAGGGGGCCAGTTGGCGAAGAGTAACAGATGAAAACTTTGACCTTTATCCTGAAAGTAGTAAGAATCATCATAGGATTTAAAGCAGGGACTAACATGATCACACTCACTTTTAGAGAAATATCACTCTGGTAGAAGACTAGAGGATAGACTGAAGGGTGGCAATGAGACCAGTTTGAGGGCAACTGTAAGAAATGGGGTCCTGGGCTTCCCTGGTGGCGCAGTGGTTGAGAATCCGCCTGTCAATGCAGGGGACACAGGTTCGAGCCCTGGTCCGGGAAGATCCCACAGGCCGCGGAGCAACTAAGCACATGCACCACACTACTGACCCTGCACTCTAGAGCCCACGAGCCACAACTACTGAGCCCACGTGCCACAACTACTGAAGCCCATGTGCCTAGAGCCCGTGCTCCACAGCAGGAGAAGCCACCACAGTGAGAAGCCCGTGCACCACAAGGAAGAGTAGCCCCCGCTCGCCGCAACTAGAGAAAACCAGCACACAGCAACAAATATCCAATGCAGCCGAAAGAAAGAAAGAAAGGGAAAGAAAGAAAGAAATGGGGTCCTGAACTAATTTAAGACAGTGAGAATGAAGAAAAGTTATATTAAAGAAGCATGTAGGTTACAGAATTCCTAAAACTTGGTGTCTATATTTCATATAGCAGGGCAAAAAGGAGAGAAGGAAGTAGTAACACTAGAAGAAGAAGTAGTAGTAGTAGTAGTAGTAGTAGTTGTAGTAGTAGTAGTAACAACAAGTACAACATTTACTGAGCACATAATTCTATGCCAGACACTACTGCAAGCACTTCACATAGTATTCACTCATTTAATCCTCACTAAAACTCTAAAAGTAGGTCCAGATATGCCTGTTTTATAAATGAGGAATGGGGATTGAAGTAGCCCTTGAAGACAGGATGAAGGAAAAAGAAAGAGGCCATATGAACTGAAGACAAAAAATTAAATGTATGGGAAAAGTACAAACAAAGCTAGTTGAACTATAGCAGTCAGTTTGTATAAGAGAATACTGGCTAGAAAATTTGACTGGGTCCAACTTATGAAAGGTCTTAAATATAAGTCCTTAATCTCAAGGCAGTAAGAAAGCCATCAAAGATTTAGAAAAAAGGGGTGATCTGAACATAAATTTAGTTGAGCACTTACCCCTGGCTAGGTACTGGGGCTACAGAGACAGGATCCCTGCCCATTAGTTTATCTACCAAAATGTCTCACAGAGATCTAGAAATTAATGTGTCCATAATTAAACTCATATTTCCCTTTAATCCCCTCTATTCTCCTTGATCCTTTTCCTCCATTCTCAATTCTAATCAATGCCACTATATCTACCCAGTTACCCAAGACCACACAATGTTTAAGAGTATAGGCTCCAGAACCAGGCTGCCTAGGATCTAATCCTTGCCTATTTTCCTTTTAAGTCTCAGCTCAAATACATCCTCCTCTGGATTTCCATAATTTCCCAAACTGGATATGTGCCTCCTCTGAAATCCCACAATCCCTATCACATCTCTGATCAAACTCGACTACAGCTATTTGTATCTCTGTCTGTCTGCCCCAGACTAGAAACGCTTGTAAGTCAGGAACCATGCCGACCCATCTCTGGATCCGTGACACTGCCTAGTATAAGACCAAGCAAACTGGAGGCTCCAGAATATGAACCCAGGCAGTGTGACTTCATGGCCACTATCTTTGGGTCACAAGGTGGACAGCAATGTCATTAACTAAGATGGAGAATTCGACAGAAGGGGAGATAAATTAAAGGGCATTACGGGTTTAGTTTTAGGCACAATTTCAAGGTGATTATACGTCATACAGGTAAATGATCTAATCAGCAAGGATCTGTCTTATTGATCTCTATAGCCCTGATAACTAGTTAAGGGATAAACGCCTAATTAACCATATAAGCAAATTACTCCTGTGTTCAGAACATCTGATGACTTCCATATTGCCTAAAGAACAGAGTCTAAACTCACAAGGTAAATCCAAACTTTCTAACTGTATCTTTTACTACTTTCCTGTACAAGCCTTCGAAGTTAGCTTCCTCATTTGTGCCTGCCTATCCCATATCTTTCTCTTCCTGCCCAAATGTCTTACGAACTAAGAAATAAGAACTGCTTCTCCTTTCATCTTCTGCTTTCAAGATCTACCACAAATCACTATTCCTTCAAGAAATATTTCCAGATCACCCCAGTTAAATAATGATCTCACCATACCAACACTCCTAAAGACTTCATAATGCTCACAAGTTAATTCATGAGGTCCATGACAGATTCTTCCAGAATCAAAGAAACATTATGCTGTGTCCCACAGTTTTACCATTAAAGATCATTATAATTTTTAAACAGGCAAACCATGAATATTCTAGCTCATTTATGTAGTCATCACATAACAATAAACAATGAAAGAGAACTAGTCCAAAGGAATTATTCTGTCACTCGGGGGGGGGGGGGGGGGGGGGGGGGGGGGGGGGGGTGCCGTGGACGGGACAAAAAACCCTACAGTCCTTTGTTTGACAATTTGGAGGCTGGTAAATAACTGAACTAGAGAATTACCTCCTTATATGTAAATGAAAGACTGACTTATGCAGACAATGTAGTTACAAGCTGCTGGTCCTAAGAGTATTCCTCTCATCTCAATACTCTAATTATAAACAAATTGTTTTAAAAATGCCTCAGGGCTTCCCTGCTGGTGCAGTGGTTGAGAGTCCACCTGCTGATGCAGGGGACACAGGTTCGTGCCCTGGCCCGGGAAGATCCCACATGCCGCAGAATGGCTGGGCCCGTGAGCCATGGCCGCTGAGCCTGCGCGTCCGGAGCCTGTGCTCCGCAACGGGAGAGGCCACAACAGTGAGAGGCCCGCGTACCGCAAAATAAATAAATAAATAAAAATGCCTCAAAGGCCCACATTTCAAATCCTAATCAAAGTCTCAGCTTATTATACCCACACCCCCATGAAAAAAAAAAAAAGAAAGAAAACTTTTAAAAACAAAGCAAAACTCTTTACACATTCCACAAAAGAAGAAAATGAATTTTCAGGCTCGTAGGCCAAAGCTATTTCAATGTTAACTTTGAACTACTGGAGAGAAAGGGCTCTGCTTATGTGAATTGAATACAGAAGAAGGGGGTAAAAAGAAGCTAAATAAGCTTCAATAAGTACAAATGATTGAGACTGGGGGGCCTGAAATAGCCTGAGGGATATAGGCCCACTGAAAACTCCACACCAAGAAACAAAACCATTGGTGTGAGAGCTGGGAAACATGAACTGTTAGCAGGAAGACCAGTTTCTATATAATCAGTATCCTAACTTTTAGGCAAAGGGATATGTAAAACATATACTTCATATGAAAACAGTCGGTCTACACTAGCATTTAGAACTCTAGATTTTTTTTTTCAATTCATCCTTCCTCCCCTTCTCCCAGGAGTAATGCCCTTTGACCAGCAGCTGGGAAGTCTCATTTTAAGTGATCAGCATTCCTCTGACATTCTAAGAAGTTGCACTATTTGTTTCCATAGAAACAGCTTTGTCAGCTAACACAAAATTCAGGCCAAGAATAGTGAAAAGAACTTACATTATGCAAATTGGAAAGTCCTTGTCTACTATCCTTAGTTCTTCTCTGATTTTTCACAGAACTCAGACTAACTTTCTTACTCTGTAAAACAGAAAAGAGACAATTAATCAAGTGTAAAAGTCTGTAGTGTCTTTTAGAGGGAGGGAATGGCAGAGAAAAGTTAATTCAATACGATATCCAATTCTGTTTTCAGATGACTAGGGTTTCTCAGTATAAAGCAATAAAAATGTACACACACCCATCTCTAATGAACATCAATTAAAATCAATATAAATTACCTGAAGTCAATGATAAGAAAGAGGTAAACATAACTGGTTTAAAAGCTTTAAAAAAAAGCACAAGACCCTTTTGTAGATGATTTTTAATGACTTTTTTTTTATCTCTAGGTTAGGCTCAAACAAAAATGCAGTTTTTGGTTTTTTTCTTTAACTACAACTTCTGGATCCATTTTAAACCTTATAAATAGTTTCATAAAGTCAAGAAAATGAGAAGTTTAGGATCCAAAAAGATTCAAAAAGAATCTGACAGACAAGAACCACAGTTAATTCAGAGGCGGGAATGTTGATGCTACATTGAAGACCAAGATAGAAGAGGATCCTGTCCTAATGGGAGATTACATTCTGATAGGGTAAAAGATAATAAAAAGCAAATACACAATAAGATGAATTCAGAGAAAGAATTATAAAGAAAGTAAAACAGGGTTATACAATAGACAGTGATGTTTGGAAGGGGCAACATTAGATAAGATGGTCAGGGAAGGCCTATTTTAGGAGATGATAATTAAGCTGAGACTTGAATGATAAAAAAAAAAAAAAAAAGTTAGTTGTGGGAAGATCCAGAAATAAAGGGTTCCAGATTGAGGGAACAGAAAGTACATTTTTACTTTCTGGATGTCACCAGAATCTCAATTTCAATATATCCCAAACTGACCTGAACTTCTTCCCTACTATTGTTAATTATAGCACTATCTCCAAGATCTTCCTCAAGCCTTATTATCCAATCAGTTGCAAAGATCTGTTGATACCACAAGGCTTTTAGGATCCACTGAAAAAGTGGCAGAATAGCCACCCCAGAATATGCCACTAAAAGATACTGTTAAGAAAATGAAAAGGCAAGCTATAAAAAGGGAGAAATATTTGCAAAATACTTATATTCACTATAAATACTCTTATAAGAAAGTCAAATAATACAATTGTTAAAAAGAGGCAAGAAATCTGACCACCAAAGATATACAAATGGCAAAAAATAAACATTTGGAAAGATATTCAACACCATTAATCATTAGGGAAAATGCTAATTAAAACCACAATGAGATACCAGCATAAGGATAGACAGAAATCTGTGGAATAGAATTAAGAGACCAGAAATAAACTCTAACATTTACAGGCAATTGATTATCAACAAGGGTGCTAAGACAATTAAATAGGAAAAAAACAGTCTCTTAAATGGTGCCAGGACAACTAGATATACAGACATCCACATGCAAAAGAATTAGGTTGCACTCTTACCTCACACCATATACAAAAATTAACTCAAAATGAATCAAAAACACACATGCAAGAATTCTATAAAACCCTTAGAAGAAAACAAAGGCATAAATAAATCTTCATGACCTTTGATTATTACGCAATGGTTTCTTAAGACAGGACATCAAAAGCACAAGCAACAAAAGGAAAATAAATAAATTAGACATGATCAAAACTTAAAACCTTGTGCTTCAAAGGACACCATCAAGAAAGTGAAGAGGCAATGCACACAATGGGAGAAAATGTTTGCAAATCATTTATCTGATGGGGGACATGTGTAGAATATGTAACAAATGCTTACAACTCTATAATAAAAAGACAAATAGTCTGATTTTAAAGTGGGAAGAGGACCTGAATAGACAGTTCTCCAAAGAAAATATACAAATGGCTTTATTAAATAGGTGCATAAAAAGATATTTAACATTATTAGCCATCAGAGAAAAGCAAATCAAAACCATGAGACACCACAACACCCACTAGGATGGCTAGAATCAAAAAGACAAGTGCTGATAAGGAGATGGAGAAACTGAAACTCTCATACACTTCTGTTGGGAATGTCAAATGGTGCAGCCACACTGTAAAATAGTCTGGCAATTCCTCAAAAGGCCAAACACAGAGTAATTCCACTCCTAGGTATACGACCAAGAGAAATGAAATATATGTCCAAACAAAAACCTTGTACAAAAATGTTTACAGCAGCATTATTAATATAAAAAGTGGGGGGAAAAAATCCAAATGTCCATCAACCGATAAATAAAATGTTGTATATCCAAAATGAAATATTATTGGGCAATTAAAAGAAAGTACTGTTACATGCTACAACATTGATGAACTTTAAAAACAGAATTGAAAGAAGCCAGTCACAAAGGACCACATACTGTATAATTCCAGTTATGAAATATCCAGAATAGGCAAATCTAGAGAGACAGAAAGTAAATTAGTGATTGCCTTTGGCTGGTGGGGTGGGGGGATTATGGCTAAGTGGGGTACATGTTTCTTTTGAGGGGTGATGAAAAGACTCTAAAATTGATTGTGGTAATGGTCGCACAGTTCTGAATATACTAAAAGTTACTGAATTGTACACTTGAAATGGATGAATTGTACATGGTATGTGAATTATAACTCAATAAAGCTGTTAAAAAAACACAATGAAATACCATTACAAACACAGTAAAATGGCTAAAATTTAAAAGATTGACAATACTAAGCTTTGGAGAGGATATGGAGAAACTGAAACCCTAATACAGGTGAGAACATGAAACGGTAGTCAGTTTGACAGTTTCTTAAAAAGTTAAACATACACTTATGATATAACCCACTGATTCCATATGAGAAATACATATTTTTATTTGTAAAAAAACACAAAGGTTTATATGGAATATTCACAGAAGCATTATTAATAATGATAGCTTAAAATTGGACACTATCCAAATGTCCTTCAGCTGGTGAATGGATAAATAAAAAAAACAGAATACTATTCAGTAATAAAAAAGAAAGAACTACTGATATATGCAACAACATGGGTGGCCTCAAAAACATAATGCCAGACACAGGAGTACATACTGTATGATTTCCATTTGTAATGAAATTTCTAGGAAAGGCAAAATTACTGCTGTTAGAGAAAGCGGTTTGGTGGTTTCCTGGAGCTGTGGATGGGAGCAGAAACTAGCTATAAAAGGAGACAAGGGAATTTTTTTATGGGATGGAAGTGTAATGAAACTAGATTTCAGTGATATCTACACGATATAAATTCAATGAAACTCAAACTGTACCTGTAAAACATGTGAATTTAATGGAATGTAAATTATACCTCGATAAAGTTGTTCTCAAAATTCATCAAATTGAACACTTAAAATTATTAAATTTTAATGTAAGTTATACCTATTGAGCTGATTTTAAATTACACATTTAAAATTGCATCTTATTACATGTAAATTATATCTCAACAAAACCAATTTTAAAAGAAGACCAAGTCATATACTGACATCACATAAAAAAAACCTATTTACTCAATAAATGTTTAACTCAATGCAAAAATTTTAGTTTCCAACAATGAATGCCCCACACATCATCTTCACAGAGAAGAAATTTAGCTAATACAAGTCAAAACTCAAATAGAGTTGACCCTTGAACGACACGGGTATAGGGACGCCAACCCTCTGTGCAGTGGAAGATGTATAACCTACAGGCAGTTCTCCGTATAGGTGATTCCTCCATATCCGCAGTTCTGCACTCATGGATTCAACCAACCATGAATCCTGTAATACTATAGTATTTACTACTGAAAAAAATCCACCTGTATGTGGACCTGCACAGTACAAACCCATGTTGTTCAAGCGTCAACTGTATTTGGGCTAGTCATGAAAAGTACTAGCTCAGAAATTACTAGTGACAACAATTTAAGCAAAAATATATAAACTCACCAAAGATTTAATTGAAAAACTAGTTTTTTCAATTATTCCTTATGGAGAACTAAACAGTATATTTTTAAAATAAAAAATAATATATTTGAAGTAAACTGAATTCAATAGGTAACAATGTAAATTTTTTTAAGCTGCAAAACAGATTTATACAACTGACAAACCAAGCCCCTTAAGAAAAAGACCAAATGCAAATGTCCTGGGCTTATTTTTTAATGGAACAGTCTGACAAGTCCTATAATAATGGCATTTCTAAAATTCTACTTAGTTTATGGTTTAGGTTTCAGATAAACGTACCTTTATTTATCATCCAGATAACTGCATGCCAAAGAAGCCACTGCTATACTCACAGCTTTAAAACTATTTATATATTTAGAATGTAGTATGTCAGATAAATTTGTATAGAATGGAAGCAAAATTCCTTCATTTGAAAAAAATCCTCAAAGTAGAAATCAAATGAGTAAATATTTCAAAGGGAAGTAGGGGTAACATATAACTTAAAGCCACATAAGTCATCTGCTCTCACAGACAAAAAAAAAAGAATGGTATGATTCCTGCTCAATGTAACTGGATATCAATAAGGCCATGTCAATAGCTTAGAAGACACATCTTTATCAGATGAAAACTTTCAGAGACTTAGCAGCTTTGAACATAACTGGCAAAAGTTGTATATAAAACATATCTGCAACAGAAAGATTTAATTTTCAAGTTCCTATTCTCACCCTGTAATTTTAGGCCATATGATTGCCTTAAGACAAAAATAAAAATAAGACAACATGGAAAAATTGGCTGGAAAAATAATGCTGCATTTATCGTTTGTTAAACATCTATATCCTAAAATATTCATTTACCAGTTTATCAAACATTTATAAATATCACCTTGACTCTTCTTAAAACATTTTTGGATTACAGTGGCTCTCCATCAAGGGTGATTTTGCCTTCCACCTGTCCCCACCAGGAGAATTTTGACAATGTCTAGACATATTTTTTATTGTCAGGACTGGGTTGAGGGGTGCTACTGGCATCTACTTAGCAGAGGCCAGAAATGTTGCTAAACATGTACAGGATAGCGTCCCCACCCCCAAAGAATTATCCAGTCCAAAATATGACAGTAATGCCAAAGTTGAGAGACCCT